GAGACTGGAACCATTCAAACTATTTTTGGTTAGATTTTTTAAAGAAATAAAACACTTTAATTCTTTGTTTTCGAAGCTTTAAATTACAGAATACTAACTTATTTTATAAATTTTAAAATTTCCATATGCATTTATAATCAATAGTTGGATAGAGTTTTTTGACAAAATTTTTTTAAAGTCATAGAACCATTGTAATTTTTGCCATTGATTATTAAGATCTCTTTGCACAGTTTTAGCTTGTAAAGTTAATTTTAAAGTCCCAAACTACCATGCAAAGTGGAAAGTGCCTGTATGATAAAAATTTAACAACAGGATTGTTGGGCAAATTAAATGAAATAGTACATGTCAGCACCAATATGAGATCTGGCATGAGGGCTCTTCTCAAGTGTTATCTATTTTATGTGACTATTACCCATTGCTTTATGTTTTAGGAATTTGGGAGAGTTTGTGTGATTATGTATGACATTTTAAAATTATAATTGACTAGTTTATTAATGTTAGAAATTATTTTCAAAATACATTCCAAACTAAAAATCTAAGTATTTCCTTCAGAAAAAAAAAATTTTTAAACATTTCAGTAGATTTGGGGTACAAGTATTTTTTGGTTACATGGATGAATTGTATAGTAGTGATGCCTGGGTTTTTAGTGTACCCATCACCTGGATAGTGTACGTTGCACTTGATAACAGAAAAAATTTTGATAGCTATCTCGAACCTCCAAAACCCACAAAACTTATGAGCCATTCATAGAAGGGAAATGCTACTACATTTATGGGCACTTCCATTAGAAAAGAAAAGTATTCAAACGCATTGCAAATAAGAGCTTATTGTTTCATTCCCTTATTTTATTTTCATCTATTTCTGGGTTTTCTCTTTAATAATAAAAAGTGTTGAATTCCTCTAAAATATGCTTTTGGGGATTAAAGAATAAATATTACATGAAACTCATTTGGGGAACTACTAGTAGAAGTACCTATAATGATTACAGAGAGGTGGATTTTTCAAAGGGATCAGCACAGCAGGCTAATTCTTGGTCTTAGGACCCAAGAAAAGCAATGAAACAAACAGAATAGTAGTTATGTATGTATTACTTAAATGTTGGCCCTAAATTGAAACTAGAGGTTTAAAACACCCACAGGATGATTTTTTTCACTGCATGATCATGTACTTTGCTGATGAGTGAGAACTTTTTGAGCGGCAATTTGTAAGTTTTGATGGTCTTAAAAAACAATGTGTCTGCTGTGGAATAGGCAGGCTACTGAAGTGATCGGTAAACTGAGTATGGCTTGGATCAGCTTTTGTCTTAAGAAAGAAGTCAAATTCGTTTAACCATTAAAATGGCAAATTGCTTGTGAGTGGATTTCAAATAAAAAAAGCAATTGAGCTAAGACTGCAACCTAGTGGTGAGTTTGTTACTGAAAAAAAAGTAGCTGTGTTCATTCTAGGCCACTGATAAATGGAGCATCTGAATTTAAAGTGAGAATGAACACGAAGAAGTGTGTTGTGCCTTTCTTGTGAAAACTGACCTTCAGATTATGTTGGAGGTGGGATAAAATTGAGGAAAGGATGGCTGTAACCAGATCCTTGAAGGTGTTAATTTTATATAGTACTTTCTACTCACTCTGTCTGAAGTTTCTGTTCACTTCTGTTTGTCTCTTGAAAGAGGAAGAACATTATGGCTTATCTTCTCACACTAGTTGCACTAACTTATTTACTTATTTAATGAGTTCCACTTTAGGAAAGACTTTTATTTGCTTTTATTTTTGTAATTGAACCAATTCAGATTATACTCATCTTTGATTCAAGTAAATTTTTCATATGACATTATTCTAAATGTCATGAAATTTGACATTTTTATTATTCTTTGACTCAATTATAGCGTTTGGCTTTTTATAGTTTGATGTAGACTACATTCCTTACAGATGTTTATTATTAATACTATTGATTAGTATTTCACAATGCATTGTATTAATATGGAAAATATTATTGACAAAGTAATACTCAGGCTTTGTTCTTTCTAAGAAGATTACTTCTCTTACACTAAATATAGAATATTCAAGAAATATCTCTGTATAAGAATTTGGATCTTTTAATTATTGTCTATCTTAATCTGATTTTTAAAATCTACTTGTATCTTATCTTGATGTTCCTCATTTCTTAGCAATCCTTTTAAAGCATATACTTAAAAATTAGTTCAATCAATGTTTCTTGATTTTTGATGTCAAATCATCCTTGTCCCCTAGCACTCTAATTTTTAGTTAGTTTATATTAACTTTCCTTTATATAGTTTTATTTTACCTGCAAAACTACCTGTGACTTTGTTTCTTTGTTTCTTACAACCAAATCTTTTTCCCTGGCAAAGCTCGTTATTGAAGTGTGAAGATTGGTTATTCTGTATGCAGTAAAATCAGTTCTGTGCTTTCATAGGGATTATCAAAAGGTAATACTGTTAGTTTTTAAATTCTTTCTCTACTTCAGGTTTTCCACATTAAATTCACGTGCATTTTCAGAAAATATCTTAATTCTTTCTAATTTACCTACCTCTAAGTTTGGGAATATATGACTGCATAGCATTGCCAAAGGCAGACAGCTCATGATTGCCAGGCTCACTGCAGTGGATTGACTATAAGATGCCCATCCCTGTTGGTGAAATGATGCTCTGGTGGTTAATGTTAAGAGTCAACTTGACTGTATTAAGAAATACCTAGAAATCTGGTAAAGCATTATTTTTAGTTGTGTCTGTGAGGATGTTTCCAGAGATTAGCATGTGAGTCTGAGCAGATTTAAGTGCAGAAGATCCGCCCTCAATGTAGCCAGGCACCATCCAGTTAGCTGGGGACCTCAAGAGAACATTGGAAACAGTCAAACCTGTGCAGCATGTTATGTACTGACTACTGTGGGCAATTATAACACAATAATAAGTATTTGTGTATCTAAACATATCTAAATGTAGAAAAGATATAGTAAAAATACAGTATAAAATACAAAAAAAGTACACCTGTCTAGGGAACTTCCCATGAATGGAGCTTGTAGCACTGGAAGTTGCTCTGAGTGAGTCAGTGAGTGAGTGTGAGTGAATGTGAAGGCCTTGGACATTGCTGTAGACTTTATATACACTGTACACTTAAGCTACACTAAATTTATAAAAAACCTTTCTTCAATAATAAACTTAATGTAACTTTTTTACTTTATAAACTTTTAATTTAAAAAAAAATGTTTGACTCTTTTACAGTTACACTTAGCTTATAACACAAATATATTATACACTTGTCCCCAAATATTTTTTCTTTATGTCCTTACTCTATAAGCTTTTTCCTATTTTAAAAATTTTGTATTTATTTTTATTGTTTAAACTTTTTTTGTTAAAAACTAAGACATACACACATTAGCCTAAGCCTACACAGAGTCAGGATCATCAATGTCACTGTCTTCCACCTCCACATCTTGTCCCACTGGTAGGTCTTCAGAGGCAGTAACATGCATGGGGCTGTCATCTCCTGTAATAACAATGACTTCTTCTGGAATACCTCCTGAAGGATTTTCCTTAGGCTATTCTATAGTTAATTTTTTTATAAGTAGGAGTACGCTCTAAAATAACCATAAAAAGTCAGCGCAGTAGGTTTGTTTATGCCAGCACCACCATAAAGTGTGAATAACCATTGCGCTACTGATGTTACAATGGCAACAATAGTCATTAAGCGATAGGAATTGTTCAGCTGCATTATAATCTTATGGGGCCATTGTCGAATTTGCAGCCCCATCGTTGACTGAAACGTAGTTATGCGATGCATGGCTAGGTATGTGTCCTATTGGTTCTCTCCCTGGAGAACCCCAATGCATATGCACCCTACATAATTCAGAGGATTGTCTCCGGTGTCACCCTAATGAAACTGTTTTGGATCTCTTGTGGTCTTCAAAACAGCTTTCTACAAAGCATAAGTTTTTGTACTTGATGTAAATGGGTGAACCAAGAAATCAGCCACTCTATAATCAATGCAGAAATCAATGCTAGAATAGCAAATTATCTGAAGAGCTTTCTCTTTTCCTACCATACCATCTATGAAAAAAAGTCTGAGTTTTTTTGGGAATCTCTCACCACAAAGATAAGGTAGATGACATGGCACTCTACAGAGAGTTTCTACTAAAATAAAAGTTAATGGAGCAAAATGCCTTTCAATAAATTCGTGAGTGTAATACTGAGGGAAACAAATCCTGTCCCCCATGGCACACTTAAGTAGATTTTGGAAGGAGGCGGCAAATTAATACAACAGCATGGCAGGTCTCAGAGCTATACATCTGCAACAAATTATTTGCATAAAGCTATAAAAAATATATGGCATGAGATATTTTTAATAACCCTTAAAATCCTTTTAAAAACAAAAATGTTTAATAATTCAGATTTACTAATTATTCCAGAAGTAGCATATTGAAAATGAGGCTACATTGTATACTAGAAAGTATCACTGTATAGTGAAAAATTTTATTGACAGAAAATTGTGTAAATATATATAAAATACTATAGTGATCTGAAAATATCCTTTATAATGTCTTTAGAAAAAATAAAAAAAGGTTGATCCCTGAATAATGCCCTGATTCTCACATACGAGAGAAACTTACAGGGTTTAATTTTCAGGTCTCAAAGAGCTATTTTACCTGGCATTCTAAATATATACAAAAGAAATATAAGAAATACTGTTCTATTTTATGTTCTTTAACAACAAAATCTTCAAATCTTCAGTTGGTGGTTAATTTACTTATCATCCATAATAAGAACTCCTGGATACCTAATTGTTTAAGCGGACATTAGTACAAGTTATAGAATTAGGACTTTAGGTAAGGGAAGGTAAAACAAACAGGTCTTGGCTCACAAAATCACAGATTTGGGGAAGGGAAGAGTGATAGGAAAAAGTAAAAAAAAAATGTAGGTGGTTTTCACTTAAATGATAGATTTTACGTTCAAAAATTATCATGCTCCCTTTCTCTTTTTTTAACTTCATAAGTTTAAATAGACTATAGATGCCTGGAAAGAAAATATACACACTCATCGTCCTCAAGTTTCTGATGTATTTGGCCAAGGACATACAGTCTTAGTGGCAGCCAGCTGGCCACATGTCTTGGCATATCTCAGTGAAGCTTCCTTCGGCCACCAAAGCCCCCAAAGACAGACATACAGCTGTTAACACAAACTACACAAGGTAAGTCTTTCCAGGTCTGGGAAGCTTAATTTTGTTCTGTACTCTTTATGCCAGGGATATAAATTGCTATTTAGAAAAAGCTTAAGCAATATGTGCCCTTATTGGGGGGGAAAGAAAAAAAAAAAGAAAAGACACTGGGACTCGTTGGCTCTCAAGCCAAACTTGGCAACAAACTTATTCAGAGAGAAAAACAGAATGAATGCCCAGATATTTATGAGTAGTGTCCTGACTCTGGCTTTCTAGGGTCTTGGAAAGTCCATTTCCACCCACATAATCTTTCCTCCTCCAACCCCATTTCCCCAAATCACTAACCAGAACAATAAATCCATGATATGTAGGAGAAGCGAATAATGACTTTATAGATAATAAATCTTAGACAAGCTCAATACTTGTGCATATTTGAGAGGTGGTAAATCTTAGAGCAATCTAAATGTAGCTCTTATACTACTACAAAATAAAAATATATGTGAAAAAAACACAATAAAGTCTATTAGCCACTCAAGATCTGTAAGAAGACATTATATTCAAATGTTATATTAGATCATGAATAATGTGGAAATCTAAATCTGAGTCAAACCATACCAAGGGAGCAATGCTTCCTACCATTGGACTTATTTTTTAAATTGAGTTATATTTTTTGTAAATTTATATCAATATCATTTTTGTTTCCTATTTTTTTTTATATATATATACAGAGTCTTACTTTGTTGCCCAGGCTAGAGTGAGTGCCGTGGCATCAGCCTAGCTCATAGCAACCTCAAACTCCTAGGTTCAAGCAATCCTGCTGCCTCAGCCTCCCGAGTAGCTGGGACTACAGGCATGCGCCACCATGCCCGGCTAATTTTTTCTCTATATATTAGTTGGCCAATTAATTTCTTTCTATTTATAGTAGAGACGGGGTCTCGCTCTTGCTCAGGCTGGTTTCGTACTTCTGACCTTGAGCAATCTACCCGCCTCAGCCTCCCAGAGAGCTAGGATTACAGGCATGAGCCACTGTGCCCAGCCTGTTTCCTATCATTTTTATTCCTCCCTTCTCTAGCTGTTCCACCTACAGACCCACATGGCATTAAAAAATGTTTCCCAAAGCATGGCACATATACTGCTGATGCCATGTGAGATGGTTTTATGTGGTAAAAGGAGGTTTTATTTTTATGGTCAGTTACTTTCAGTGAATTGGAAATAATATAATGAAACACATCAACCTGTGACTTCACAGATATAAAACTTAAATAAATGCATTTATGCAAAACAAAGGAAGTCAATATAATACAATATTAAGGAAATAACAGGGATGATGCTCAGAGGGGAAAATGTGAAGGTGACAGTGTAGAAAATACTCATTTATATTATATGGAAAGAATCTATGATTCTTAGTATGAAATAAGTATTTGTGTCTTTTTCCTCAAGTGGTGCTAATGTCTCTTAAAGAAAAGTGGAACAGCAATTTGCATTGGGGTTTTAGAGAACATTATATAGGACTTTCATAATCCTTATCAAATCAAACTGGTAAAAATCTACTGAGAGGTCAGAAAAGAAACCAGTCGGAATGTACAGAGAAACTAGACATAGTAATAACCAAAAGTGGTTGGTTGGCCAAAGATGGATTAATCAGAAATCTCTTCAGAAGGCATAGAAGGAGTCCAGCCTCTACTCAGCTAATGTGCTGTCCTTATATAGGAACTACAATGGAGAGGGAGGATGAGTGCAGTGGCACTGAGTCCCAGTGCTGGTTCTGTCCAGGATTGGTCTTATGAACTAAAACAACCCATTTAAGTCTGTTCAGTTGAAACACACAAATAATACATGTGATTTATGGGATGTCTTCAATGAATGCTTTATAAATGTATTGTTTTTCTTCCCACATGGATTTGTCATATTGTATTTTTGGATTTATGGATTTAGCCACTGTTAACATAACGAGAATGGTTGCATGGCTGGATATTTTCCAGACACCCCTTGTATGCTCATAAAATTCATGTGATATATAATCTAAAAACAAAGCAAACAAGAACCTTCAACGTAGAAGCGCATAAAGAAGAAAAGTGAAAGCCCCTAATAATATAACCACCTGAAGGAGACATACCAAGCTGTCGTCATAGGATTTCTGTGTTGCACATCTCTGGGAGATGCCACTCAGTTGATTATCACAGTAGACTATGAACAGTGTCTCCTTGAATTGTGCAGAAAACAGCCTACGAAATACAGCAGCTCTGATTCTGAACTTGGACTTTTTTTTCCACTAATATGACGTAACTATATGTTAAGTTATGCATAATCTTCTACAGCTAGCGTACATTTCAGTTTCTGTAGAAGTCAGTACATATATATCTCAACTGGCATATATTTGGCTTCTGTACAAATCAGTACATGTGCATCTACCTCATTTTTTAACAGCTTCAGAGCATTCCATTTTATGATGGCACATAATTTAATCCCTTATATATGGATTTCTGGATTAGATCTAAATTTTTGCTATAATAATGTGGTTGCAACAGTGAACAGCTGTATGTTGCGATGTTTCCCTCTTTTATGCTGGCAGATTTCCATTAGAAAATTGGACCCATAAATTATTTGTGTAATTAAAATGCATTCACAGACAAAATATAAATAACTTTCTGAATATCTTTGTAAAACATTTGATAGTCACAATCACTCCCAGCCCTTAGCATACTTATTTTTAAAAATAAGTAAATAGTTGCCATGTACCAGGATTATATTAAGTTCTTTAAATAGATCAGTCCATTTTAATTGGTTATTTTTTTCTTTTTTCAAAACAACTAGCCCAAAAGTGTCAGCACAATACTAAAAAACAAAAGGTTTTCTTGATGAGGGAGAAAGTAATTCAGGTATGCATGTGTGCATAGTATATTCTAATTTTAGTTCTCCTTGTTGGGGTACAGCATCTAATAGAGAAGAAAACAGAGGCACTAATGTTAACAAATAAATAAATCAGACAAGTAAAGAAGTGGAAACATGTAAGTCTTGTACCTATACAAATAATCTCAAAGATAGGCCTGCCGGGAAAGAGCTGGCTCTAAATAAGATTATGGAGCTGATGAAACAGACTTCTCAGACTTCTCTGACTTTCCTCTTCCTCTTAGTGCCTCTCCTCTATCATGAGGCATCGCTTCCCATCCAGCCCAGGATGTTTTCTCTCTTGCTGCTACTTGGCTCTCAGGACCCTCTGCTACCCATATTTGTTCTTTTAGACAGGGTTGGGTTCTGGGCCTCAACATACAGTGTGTTACAACAGGAATAGACTTCTAGTCCTCCCTGAACCAAGGGAGGTTAAGTGACCTATCCCAGGTCACACAGAGAAAATTTTAAAACTACTATTGAGAATAAGAGATAAAGCAAAAGGTATATACTTACTTAGATAATAATTTTAAATTTGCATCAAAGGACCAGAAGTTCATGACATATTGGCAATATCCAGTTATTTCTGAATACAGACAATGTGAAATATTGAGAAAAAAGACCTAATGTATTTGATAGAAAGAATGAGCTAGATTTGTCTAAATGCTAACCTTCTTTAAAAGCTGTATTTAAAATTCTTGCCAATTACTAGATGAAAATAGTATTGTTCTGCTCCATTCTATTTTTTTCTTCTATAATTTCTATTAAATGGACTTCTGTTCTTTTGAATCAAGTTTCTACTCTATCAACTCTTCTTTTATACTTTTTCTGTCTTTATTCTTTTGTGTTCTAAGTTCCTGAGCCAAATTTTCTACTTCACTCATTTGTTCTTTTGTTATGTCCATCAATCTCTTTAAGCCATCTATTTTGAGTTTTTATCATTTTAATCAGTTAATTTCTCAGTTTTAGGATCTCTGATTCATTTTGTTTAATTCTTTTTCATGCTATTGACATTTTCCATTATTATTCAAGGATATAATACTTTAAAGTAAAGTCTTGTTCCAAGTGTTCAAAAATGTATTTTCTTCTATTTGAGGTTGTAACTTTTTTATAACATGGGGGTGACTTCTCAAATATTTGGTGACTCTTAATGGTGAGCTTATCTTTGTAATTAATAGTCCCTGCTAAATGTTCTGGTGCCTCTGTTTGTTCTGTCCATTTAGATGAGTGAGAGGAGCAAATGCTAGGTTTGCACTCACTTCAGATCTCAGTAAGAGAGATGGTAAGGTGTGCCTCTCTAATTGTATATTTGGGCTTGGCTACTCTCTCTTCATCTAGAAAACAGCCAGATGCCTATGGCTAAATCCTCTCCAGGTACTATGCTCACCTGGAGATGAACACTCCTGTTGCAGGGCCAGTCATAGAGCATCCTTGGTTTTTTTGTTGCTGTCACTTTTTGATAATAGTTTCCTAAAGGCTCTTGCATATGTTCTAGGCTGCCATTTTCCTTTTTGATCAAAGCCTATTTTCAGTTGCTAATAAATTCCTTCCAGTTTTTTATTCACCAAGATTTCCCCTTTGGTTTTCAAGTATGACTATGTAAGTGCCTTATTGTTAAGTGTGCTGAGTCTATCAATAAACTTTGTATTGTAACTTAAAAAGTTTATAGAACATTCTCCAGGATATATCATATATGAGGTCCCCCCAAAAATCTTAACAAATTTAGGAAGATTAAAATCATATGAAGTATATTTTCTGACCACAATGGTGTGAAATGATCCCAGCTATGTGAGAGGCTGAGGTGGGAGGATAGTTTGAGCCCAGGAGTTGGAGGTTGTGGTGAGCTAGGCCGACACCACTGCACTCTACCTAGGGTGACAGAGCAAGACTCTGTCTCAATAACAACAAAAAAAAAATATCTTGAGACAAATGAAAGTGGAAATATAGCATACCAAAACTTAGGAGATGCACCAAAGCAGTTTTAAGAAAGATGTTTATAACAATAAATGCCTACATTAAAAAAAAGAAATCTCAAATAAACAACCTAATGTTATATCTCAAGGAACTAGAAAAGGAAGAACAAACTAAGCCCATAATTAGTAGAAGGAAGGAAATAATGAAGATCAGAGCAGAAATTAATGAAATAGAGATTAGAAAAAAACAGTAGAAAAGATCAACAAAACTAAGTGTTGTTTTTTTTATGAAAAGATAAACAATTGACAAGCCTTTTGCTAGACTAAGAAACAAAGAGAAATGACTGAAATAAATAAAATCAGAAATGAAAGAGGAGACCTTACAATGGATACCACAGAAATACAAAGAATCATAAGAGACTTCTATGAACAATTATACAATGACAAATTGGATAACCTAGCAGAAATAGATAAATTCCTAGACATATACAATCTCCCAAGACTGAACCATGAGGAAATAGAAAATCTAAACAGATCAATAACAAGTAAGGAGATTGAGTCAATAATAAAACGTCTCCCATCAAGGAAGAGCCCAGGACCTGATGGCTTCACTGCTGAATTCTACCAAACATGCCAATCCTTCTCAAATTCTTCCAAAAAATTAAAGAGAAGGGAATACTTCCAAATTCTTTTTATGAGGTCAGCATTACACTGATACCAAAGCCAGATAAGGACACTACAAGAAAAAAAAATTATAGGCCAATATCTTTGATGAAAAAGTCATCAACAAAATACTAGCAAATTGACTTTAACAGCATATTAAAAGGCTCATTCGCCATGGTCAAGTGGGATTTATCCCTGGGATGCAAGGATGTTTCAGTGCACACAAATCAATTAATGTGATACACCACACTAACAGAATAAACGACAAAAACCATGTGATCATCTCAATTGATGCAGAAAAGGCCTTTGACAAAATGCAGCATCCTTTCAGATAAACAAACCAAAAAAACTGCCTACACATTAGGCATTGAAGAAATATACTTCAACACAACAAAGGCTTTATGACAGGCCCACAGCTAGTGTCACATTCAGTGATGAAAAGTTGAAAGCCTTTCCTCTAAGATCAGGAAACAGACAAGGATCCCCACTCTCACCACTTCTGTTCAACATGGTACTAGAAGTCCTAACATGAACAATTAGGTAAGAGAAAGAAAAATGCATTTAGTTTGGAAGGGAAGAAATTACATTGTCTCTGTTTGCATATGACATGATCTTTGTGAAATAAGAGATATTTGTATTGGTCTCTGCCCCCGACTCTGGCACAGAGCTCCTAAAACTCTTATAATTTCCTGAATGACAGGGGAGCTAAGAGAATCTTTTGTTCTAATATTTGGTCCTTGATACCACATGCTGTGCTATAGAAAAAGCTAAAATATCTTCCTACTCTCTATTCTCACAAATGACTAAAAATAAACTGCTGTCACTGCCTTAAAAGAGGAGGAAATACTGCCCTTTGCAACCACATTGGATAAACCTTGAGGACATTATGTTAAGTGAAATAAGCCAGGCATAGAAACACAAATACCACGTGATTTCACTTAGATGTGGAATCTAGGAGAGTCAAACTCAGAGAAGCAAAAAGTGAAAGGGTGGATGCCAGGGGCCTGGGGTTGGGAGAAAAATTGGGGAAATGTTGGTCAAAGGATACAAAATTTCAGTTATGAGAAACAAGTTCAAGAGATTTATTGTACATTGTGGTGTCTATATGTAGTAAATTGTATACTTGAAAATTCTCAAGAGAGTATATTTTAAGTGCTTTCATCACAGATAAATATGTGAGGTAACGCACATTTTAATCTTGATTTATCCATTCCACAATGTGTGTGTGTGTGTGTGTGTGTATATATATATAAACAAACACATGTTGTATACTATAAATATATACAATTTTTTGTCAATTAAAAAAAGTTGTAACATTTGGAATAATTAGTGTAAAAAATGAAATCTATGAGCTAAAAACAGAAATAGAAGACACTGTAAATAGAAGGAGTAATAAAACTTACACTGGGGGGTCTCATTCTTTGAGAACATAAACTACTCTTATTAACTATTAAAGATGAGCTCTGCTAGAGTTGCCATTACTCCTAGGATCAAGGAATCAATAATTGTATTAAATGATGCTTTTTGGATATAGCTATAAAATAAACTATACAAATTGGGAAAGAATTAACATAGAACTGGTTGGCTTAGATTTATCAATTATTGGTATCTTATCAAGTGCTCTTAAAAATGTATTTAGAACATAGAAGAACACAGGTACCTTTTAGTTTGTTACTTAATATGATAAAGTTATAACCATCACATTTTGTTTTATAACCATCTACAGAGAAGCCAGTGATAAAAGGTTTTACTTATATTTCAGAAAATTCTTAAATTGATAATGATTGAGTGGCTTAGTAAAATAGGATGGATTTTAAAACAAGAAGCTTATTTCTTATTTCTACGTCACCAATGGTTAATTAAGTCTCTTCAGGAAAGTTAATTTTAAATGCTTATGTTTTAACTTCTCCAATTGAGCTGCATAAGATCTATTAATCAGGCCGGACGCGGTGGCTCACGCCTGTAATCCTAGCTCTCTGGGAGGCCGAGGCAGGCGGATTGCTCGAGGTCAGGAGTTCGAAACCAGCCTGAGCAAGAGCAAGACCCCGTCTCTACTATAAATAGAAAGAAATTAATTGACCAGCTAATTTATATAGAAAAATTAGCGCGGCATGGTGGCGAATGCCTGTAGTCCCAGCTACTTGGGAGGCTGAGGCAGGAGGATTGCTTGAGCCAGGAGTTTGAGGTTGCTGTGAGCTAGGCTGACGCCACGGCACTCACTCTAGCCTGGGCAACAAAGCGAGACTCTGTCTCAAAAAAAAAAAAAAAAAAAAGATCTATTAATCTATTTGTCCAAGGGATACATTTGACTATTTCTATATTACTATTATACGTGATTAAATATTGATGTTGCTTATAGTTGTTTATAAATGATTATGAACAGTGATAAGCATCGGTATGTATAAATACTTTATTCAGAGTATTTATTTAGGATATATTCTCAGAAGTAGAATTACTAATAGAAAAATTCTTCCCAGCTACAGGATAATTTAAATGTTTTCAGAAACTTTCAGGATTTAAAATTTCATGGAGGATCTTCATGGAGGACAGCTTATTTGTCACTACTTTGAAAATCAAAAATATCTTAAACATTTTCATGTTTAATATATGGATCACTAAAAATGATTTGTCATCTATTTCAGCATGAATAAATTTAGGGTGACTGAAAATGTGGTAGGTTTTTTCCCCAGTAACTTATCTCAGTGACACTTTCCCCTCCTACCCACCACACTGGATGCACTGCACACAGTCAGACCTGAGTTCTGGTCTCTGCTAGCATTTCTTTGTTCTTGCTACTCAAGGTGTGGTATGTGGACTAGCAAAATCAGTATCATGTGAGAGCTTGTTATAAATGTAGAATCTCAGCATTCATCCTATACCTACTGAATTAGAATTTGCATTGTAAAGTATCCCTGGGTGATTTACATGCATATTAAACTCTGAGAAGCACTGCTTTACGTAACTTCCAGCAGGTCACAGAGTCAGTCTCTCTCCTTGGTTTCTCTTCAGTCAAATTATGAGGTTGGCCTAGATAATATGGAGGAATTTTAAAACTGGAAAGAGCCCATAATAAAGATTATTGGTTTAGAACATGGATTCTGAAACCAGTGTGTCTGAGTTTGTCCCAAGTCAGCCATTTACTGTGTGACCCTGGGCAGATTATATAGATTCTCTGTGCCCCAATTTCCTCATTTAAAAATAGGAATTATAATAATATCTACTTTGTGAAGTTGTTATGATAATTAGATTAAATATATGGAACATATTTAGATTTGTGCTTGGTATAGAATAAGCACGGTATAAGAATTAACTCATTGTGATTTAAGATTCTTGACTGAATAGCATTCTAGAACACATGAAGATGCCAATGTACTGGCTTGAAAGACACTATTTAGAGCACTCTAATATTAGTGTGAGTTTGAAGAATTGAGGAAAGTCCAATGGAGAAAGTAGGCATCTAGAAGAGTTTTATGCAATAACTGAATTTGGGAATGATTAGAGACAGAAGCATTAAGGGCATTCCAGGTGAAATAGACTGAGAGGCAGGAATAAATAAATATATAGGTGTCTACTATGTGCCGGGAATTTTGAGGAAGACACAAGGTAACCAGAGTTCGAAGGCTTATTAGGCAGTTGAAGGGCTAAGATTGGATGCTCTTAATTCCAGACTAAAAATTTAGCTATAACTGTGAGAAATAAGGAGTGATTTTGTTTTGTTTTGCTTTGCTTTGACAAATAGAATAAAGTAATACAGAAAAGTGTTAGCAGGCAGAACAGCTTAGCAGAAGAGAAAGCAAAAGGAGTAAGAACCAAGATTTGGTGATTAGTTATTGGAGAATATGCAATGGAAGAGGCAACCACGGCTCCAGGATTTTAAGTCTGAAGGACCAGGAATGTAGTAGTGCTTTCGGCAAAAATGAGAATATGGAAAAAGCTGCTTTCAGGAAAAGACATTTTTAAGTATTGAACATAGTACATCCAATAAATTTGTCAGATGTAGCAGAAAGCGCTCCCTTCAAATCAGGGCCAAGCATACTTTTACCTTTTTTATATTACTGAGCATATTACTAGCATCAAACATATAAAATTATCATACTATATCCTCCATATTATCAATAAGCTGGGCAACCAGCTTCACTTGGTCCAAATAATGTCAATTTAGTGCAGAAAATAGTTAAGAATCTATAAACGTTTGAGCCTCAAATTTATGATGAGCAGTAAGGAAAATACAAAACAAAGTAAAACCTTAAAATTCTGGAACGGTATCTTTGTTTCCTTTATATATTTCAAATTCTCAGAATCTGTCTACTAAGTATTTTTTAAATGAAGTTAAATTAAATGACTTGCAGTCTTGGTTTTTCATGAACCCAAGAAAAGAACTTGAAAGAGAATGAGTTCCATTATTTCATTATTCTTGTCCCTGAATAACATTTATACTCAGCCTGAAAGAAATTAAGAACAAATGAAATATGTAGCTTTCAGACCTTTCTAAAGTAATCCTAAACCTAGAAGACAAAGATCTTTATCTTTTTGTCCAGGAAATAGCTTAGCACAATTCACTGTCTCTGAGACTATTAGACATCATAAATAATATTTACCAGAGACCCTTGCCTTTAAAGGAAACAGGAGCAGAAATACTGATTGGGATGTGGCATGTGTGTTATCATAATACAGATCATTGGGTGAAAAGTGCATTTGTGAGCAAATCTAGTACTGCCTAGCAACTGTTTCTAGGCAAAGAGTGGCTAGGAACCAGCTGTTGTTGCCTTTCAGGAGCCATTGGCCTATTTCTACACTTTACATCTGTTTTGGATTATTTGGATTTCAGTTGTAAGGTATGTTTTTCTTAGCAATTCTTAATACAGTACTAAGTATTTTGATTTTTATTGATTGACACAATAATCCTAATATTACTTTTTACCCATCTGAGTGTAACAAATATATCGATGTTTAACTATGAAGGAATATAATGTCTGAAGTCACCATTCATGTCCATTCCTTTTAGGTCCAAATCCCGCCACATTCTTAAGTGGTCTAGGACTATAACTGGATTTATACCCACTTCTGAGAGTATAAGATGTGATATTAAACATACTTCATAAACTTTTAACTCATCTTCTGAAAAATCTATCTCTGGCCTCTTTGCTTTAGTCACTACCTCTACTTCCACTACTGACCATGATTTATTTTCTTTGCCCGTGGCCCTGCAGCAGGGTATAGCTAAGCTAACAGCAGTGAAGCAGGAGGTTCTAGAGTATCTAAGGGCCATGCCAGAACTTGAAGCGGAACAGATAGGCCATATTAGTGGAGATGCAGTCTCTCTGGTGAGTAGAGAGCTCAGATAAATTGGAGGAATGCAGTATATACTATATATACATATATACATATATACACATATATATATACATATATATACACACATATATATATACATATATATACGTATATATATATAAATATATATATACTGTATTTCCCCAAAAATAAGACCTACCCATAAAATAAGCCCTAGCAGGATTTCTAAGCATTTGCGCAATATAAGCCCTAGCCAGAAAATAAGACCTAGTGATGGGCGTAGCTACGCAGTGCAGCCCTTCTCATCTGCCCCATTGTGACAGCTACTATTCCAGAGATAACCAGAAAGGTGCAGGCAGCCCCACCAACAAGGTCGGCTCCCCCTGTCAGGTCCGACAATCCTATGCGTGCTGCAAGCTGAGGCTTTGAGGGGAAAGTCTCCTCAGTGAAGTGAGGAGCCGGATGCTCCACTTTAGATATTGTGTGTCCCCAGGGGGAAGAAGGAAAGCTGTGGCTGCCATTTTACTGTGATGATGTTCCAGAAAAAGACGACTTAACTATATTTGAATAAATGTAGATTGTTGTACCGTACTTAAAAATAATAACACATCCCCTGAAAATAAGCCCTAGGGTGTCTTCTTGAGGAAAACTAAATATAAGACCCTGTCTTATTTTCGGGGAAACATGGTAGTAGATACTATAGCCCCACACTGGTTGAGTACTTCCTGAGGCTCGTGAGCAGTTCAGTCCCTCCAATTCTGTTCGAGCTTCTAGTTCCCAGAGTCCTCCAATACTTCCCAAAGTGTGCAGCTGCATTCAGCCAGCCATCTTTCATCCTTTCATCCCCACAACTGCCAGGCATTCTCACTCCCTCTCCCTGCTCATCTTCTTACTGCTGTCAGTCTCTTAACTCATTGCTCTGGATCCTCTGAAAGCTCCATCTTCTGCAAACCCACTTCTTCTGTACCCTCAACCTTCTTACAGAATATTCTAGCACATCATTATTTTCGTTGAAACCCCAAGGACCTTATTCATTTTCAGTATCCTCAAACAGAGCCTGCTCTCTGTCCACACTTCATAAGCCAGAGCCAGGAGTTAGGTTGTCACCCTCCTTAGCTCCCTGTGCCACTTCCACACCTGCTTTTATTATCATGAAAAGTCTCTCTTCTTGGGCCGGGCGGTGGCTCACGCCTGTAATCCTAGCACTCTGGGAGGCCGAGGTGGGCGGATTGCTCAAAGTCAGGAGTTCAAAACCAGCCTGAGCGAGACCCCGTCTCTACCATAAAAATAGAAAGAAATTAATTGGCCAACTAATATATATAATATAAAAAAAATCAGCCGGGCATGGTGGCTCGTGCCTGTAGTCCCAGCTACTCGGGAGGCTGAGGCAGGAGGATTGCTTGAGCCCAGGAGTCTGAGGTTGCTGAGCTAGGCTGACGCCACGGCACTCACTCTAGCCTAGGCAAGAAAGCGAGACTCTGTCTCAAAAAAAAAAAAAAGTCTCTCTTCTTTTGGGAGATAATATAGCATTTAAGAGCATAGGATTTGGATATGGACCCATATTTTGAGATGCTGGCTAGATTCCCAAACCTTTCTGAGCCTCAATTTCCACATCAGAAAAGAACAGATAGCATATCACATTGCAAGGTTGTTATGAGGATTAAATTTCTTCATTTTTTTTTACAAATCTTTATTGATTACTAAGTCCAATCATTTTTTTAAGTATTCAGAAAAATAATTCCTATCCTCATGCAGTTGTTGTATCATGGGGGAATAAAGTCTTCTTTAAACAAGTAAATACATAATTACAAAATCTGATATTAAAAAAATCTAACCAAGGTTTAATTGGAGGTATAATTTAGATAGAGAAGTGGTTGGGAGGAAAAGTTTAGTTAGGAGGGGACAAATAGAATTAGGCAAAGGAGCAAGGGATAGGAAGGGCATTGCAGACAGAGGGCAGCTTGACACATTCCAGAGACTGAAAGAAAGCCATTGTGAGAAGGCAGAGAGTGTCACAGAGTGTGGTTAGAGATGTAGGCTGGGGCAGCATTTGTGGGACCTGCATAAGGAGGCCATATTAAGGAGTTTTACTTTCATTTTAAATTCAATGAGAAGCAATGATTTTAAGTAAGAGTGTGACCTCATGTATGCATTTAAAAGACCTCTCTGAGGACAGTGCTTGGAACACAATCTTTACTTTGTAAATGAAGTTATTTTCAATACCTTGGTATTTTTAATTATGCTTATGCTTCTGTAACCTAATTTATCAATTTCTATAGTAATTGAGCCCTATATAATTTTGAAATCTGCTGGGATGAGTTTTGGTTGATTTAATTTTCCTGGGAAATTATTCATTTCATCTTTCAGATTTTCAAATTTATTTGCGTAGAATTGTACAAAGTATCTTCATAATCCCCTTTGTTTCTGTGACTATTTTCATCTTCTCATTTCTTGATTTTTTTTTTTTTTTTACCATTTCCTCTGTTTGGGATTAGAAAATAAATCAATGTGTCCTTTTTTTAATGTTTCTGTCTGTTTCTCCTTGTATATTCTATAGTTTTTACTTCATGAAAGTTATTCCTATGTTACTTGGTACACAGATATTCATAACTTATATTCCTTGTGAATTCTCACAATTAGCATTTAAAAGTCTTTTATAAATTGATTTGGGATTTGATTTCTATATGCACTGGTATAAAGATCACTGTTCATGGTTCTTTTACTTCATATTTGCTCATACTGAATTGCATTGTCTTAGGAGTGTCTCTTGTATATAGCACAGGGCTTAGTTTTGTTTGATGATATAAGTATTATATGACTTGTGTCATCCACACAAACCCCAAAGGTCACATCTTATGTTCCACTGGCCAAAACAAGTTACCAGGCTGAGTCTAGATAGAAGAAATAAACTCCATTCTTAGAGAGAATGGAGAAATAAACTCCATTCTTAGAGAGAAGTTACAAATACTGTGGCCATCTGGGTAGGGAATGGTGTCTACTCCAGGTTATGAGGTAGACTACCTGTGTAAGAGCTACCTGGGGAGAGTAGAAGAGATCTATGCCTGTAGGCAGCTCTCCCACTGGAGTGAAATGTGCATCGGGCAGACATAACCACCACTTAGCCAAGGCTTACTTAAGGACTATACACACACTGGAAGCGAAAGCCAGCATTTGAACCTGTGCTCTTCAGAGTATATTGATGGCCATTCAGTGCTAGCCACAGAAGCAGGGACAGCCAACACAAGAGGACCGCCATTTTCCCCAGTCAAGGAAGGAGATATTTTCTCTCTTCCTTTCCCCCACTTTTGCCCCAATTACAGAAGAGCTAAAGAGAAGGTGAGGAGGTATCTGAGAGCCAGACCCTTGCCCTTCCTTCTCACTCTAATGTGATGGAGCCATAGGTTTAGCCTAAATCAAAGAAGGGTAGAAGAACTAATAATCAGAATAATATATTTCTGATGTTTGAAAATGGCTAAATGGTTATAGAATATGGTCAAGATGTCATTAAAGGAGCCTCTCCACAAGAAGAAAGAAGAATTTAACAGACCACAGAGTATAGACTGAGGAAAAGAAAGAAGACACAGAGGTGGTAGATGCAGAAGACAGGATTAATAGAATATAACTAACAGAATAACTAACAGATCAGAATAGAAGGGGGCAAGGTCCTGAAAGGACTGGGGCCCACAGAACCTGGGCTTGAACAGGAAGAAACAAATTCTATCTTCTAAGATTGGAGTAAAAGGTATTAGGAATGGGTATGAACATAGGTTATTGTACAGACAGGACTCTGGAAAGCTGATAACCTCAATTTTTTTCTTTTTTAATGAAGTAGGAAGTAAGGATGTCTGTAAAGAATGAGGGCAGCTTGAACAGTGAGGTTTAGAATGGTCATTAGAATACTAATGTTGAAATTGACCTAAGGTGGGTAGATAAAAATAAATTACTTTTTTTGTACTAACAAGCTATAAAAAAGAAAAAACAATTTAAAAGGACCATCTAAAAAAATAACATTACATAAGTACATTAAATAATATCTATTTCAGGTATATTTAATATCATAAAACATGAATTCTCCCAAAATTAAGTACATGTAATACATTTCTAATTTAAATATGAATAGGATTTAGGGACAATTGGATAAAGTGATCTTAAAAGTTATATGGAATAATATAAAAGAGAAAACTAATGAGGACTGACTTGCCTCACCAGATGGAAGCATATCATGACCTCCTTATTGGCTTTGGTTTTGGCTTTAAAAAGGCAAGTCAGAATAGAAAACTCAGAAATAGATCTCCGTACATGTAGAGACTTGATATATAACAAAAAATGGTATTTCAGTTAAAAGGGGAAAATAGGTTATTTTAAAAATGGGGCTGATCCAACAGCCCATTAATCTAGAAAAAAAATAACCAAGAGAAGTTCCAGATTTATTAAATAAAAGAAAAAAATAATAGTTTTTATGTACACACAAACATCCTGCAAGACACAATTAACCAAGACAAGACCAAAAAGCTATAAAGTAAAAGACACACATACTGGT